TTTCTACAAAACGTCGCTCGGCTGGCGGCAACCCGAGATGCAGTACACGTACGACCTGGCTCTACCCTCGGACGCAATCCAACTTCGCCCCGAGGACGGCGAGGCCGAGTCCTTCGAGCTGCTCGACATACCCACTGTGTTGCAGCTCATGCACAAGGGCGAGTTTAAAGCAAACTGCTGCTTGGGTAGGTGACACTGCGCACTGACATGCAGTCTTGGCCGACTTTTTCATCCGGCATGGGTACCTCACCGCAGAGAGCGATACGCATTATGCGGAAATCGTCACAATGCTGCACACCGATCTGCGTCTTCCCACGCCATAGTTCACAAACACACACACACAAACAACACAATGGTCAATCATTTCACTGTAATCCAGCATTTTTTGGGTGACTTGTACAGGGCGCTGCACAATCAACTGCATCCATCTAATGAGACGGCATTCGCGCCGCAATACGACATGACGAAAGTACAGCAAGCAGCCAAAAGCTTAGATGTTAAGCTTGGTGCGGCGCCAGTGACGGCGGTTCTTGTTGTACTGGATCTTGTTGTCGGTCTTCATGCGGAACCAGTTGGGGATAGGGCTAACGGTCAGTCGGGACGCCCGCAACATACCGGTTCTGGCGCTGAGCCTTCGCCAGCTTAAGCTTCGTGCGGAGAGACTTGTTGGAGGGCTGCAGTGTAAGCACAGTGCCGCAACGGCATACTCACCATGTTGACAGTACTCCAAGTGTGTAGGGAGAAGCGGTGGCGCCCACCGGTGGTGTCGCTTCTTCCGTTAGCACGTGACAAACTAGGTACATCACGTGCACAGAACCTCGGCTTCTCCGCGCGATGCGCAGTCTCCCTCCACATTCTGTGCAGGTGACCTGGCCTGTGCGCTCCGCGGAACGTGGGGCAACCAACGTCGTACCGGCTCACCGGCTCATTATTATTCGTACCGCCTCGATGACTGAACCATACAAACACAAAGCCGTTCCTGCTCTTGATGTGTTCAAGCCAGATTTATTCAAGGACAAAGTAGTGTTTGTGACGGGCGGCGGCTCGGGGATCTGCTACGGCGTAACCGAGACGCTGATGCGCTTTGGTGCCAAGGCGGCCATTGTTGGACGCAAGGCCGAGCGCCTGCGCGCTGCGGCCCAACAACTGGAACGCGACACCAAATCCAAGGCGATTGCAACGCCTGGTGATGTGCGCAAGATTGAGACAATTCAGCACGCAGTCAAGCAGACGCTCGATGCTTTTGGCAAAATCGACTTTGTGATTTGCGGCGCGGCTGGCAACTTCATGGCACCCATCGAGGGCCTCTCTTCGAACGCATTCCGCGCGGTGGTTGAAATTGACCTCATCGGAACGTTCAACACGGTGCGCGCTACGATGGAGGAGGTGAAGAAGAACCACGGATCCTACGTCCACATCTCGGCAACGCTACACTACTCGGGCCTGCCCTGGCAGTCGGCCGCCTCCTCGGCCAAGGCTGGCATCGACGCATTTTCCGCCGCACTGGCTGTCGAACTGGGTCCGTTTGGTGTGCGCAGCAACTGTATTGCGCCGGGCCTCATTGCTGGCACCGAGGGTGCCGACCGTCTTGTGCCGCAAGGCCAAGAGGAAATGGCACAAGGGTTCATTCCCATGCAGCGGATTGGCCAGAAAGAAGACATTGCTAATGCGGCCGTGTTCCTTTTCAGTGAGGCTGCCAGCTGGGTTACGGGCCAAATTCTCGTCGTTGACGGCGGCTCAGTGCATTTCCGAGGCCCCTTCCTACCCTACCCCGATGCAGTCATGGACACCCAATCATTCAAGAGTTTGTTCCCTGGATCAAAAATGTAACTAGGTGGTGGAAAAATAGGCACCCAATTTTCCTAACAATTCGCTCTTTTTCCCGCTCGTCGACAAGCCGTAATGCGCACAGGCGGAGCGGAGGTCGGCGACCAGAAGACGGCCGAGGATGCCTTCTTTGTGCATGTCGCGCAACTCCTTTTCGCGAGAGGGGTCGAACGGCTCTGTTTTCGGATCAGACTTGCGCATGGACTGGACGGGTAGCAGCGCGGTGCGCTCGTCTGCCTCAATGGCCTCGTTCCACGTCCGAATCTGCGTGCCAGCGCGCTGCGGTGAGTGAGCTGACCTACCTCGTCAATCAGCGTATAGTCAGGGAGAATAGTATCTTGGTAGGAAGGTACGGGTGAGCCAAAGGCGAGCGCCATGAGCACACCGTAGTGGTGATGTAGTGCGGGATTCGTAAAAGCATCTGGGTTCAACGGCGCTTTACGCAAAAAGCTGTCGATGATCCGACCGGCAGCGCCGACCTCCTCGGCATTTGCTGGATTAGTTTGGACACATACCACTCTCTGTCTTGACCTGTGGTGCGTCCCGGATGTCGTCCGCATAAGGCAAGACAATCATATTCATCCCGGGCGGCACGAGTTGACTCCCTTCCTCATCGATCTCTTCGGCTTGTGGAAGGATAGCAACAAAAGCGGGAATAACGTTTTCGCGCGGCATGTACAGTCCCAGGGCATATTTGTTCTTCGACAACATTGACTGCAACAAGGCGGCAAAGACACGTTTGCTGCCTGGCTGGTCCAAATCGGATGGATACAGAAAGTAGGCATGCTTGATGTTTTCGAGAAAATGCAACGTCGATCGGTCCTTGAATCCAAGTAGCTTGACCCCGGGAATACACCCGAACGTGCGCAGTTTCTTGACCTCATCGTCGGACAACACGACCTGTGCCTGGTCGGTAGGCCCTTCGCTGATGGGATATGCGTTGACAATGTCGGCCGGCTGTACACGCTCACCCGTTTGCGCATCATAAAAGTGCTGATAGGCCATCACCTCATGCAAATCATCAGGGTTCTCCTGTCCGTAGGAAGACACACGCACGGGCATGTCTTTGGTTGCCTCGGAGATGAGGACATACCCTTTGACATGAATCCGCCAGTGCGACGCGCCCTGCGCTTTAGCATGCTTGTCATTATTCTGTTTTGAGAGCGGACCCAAGTCCATCATCAGGTCAAAGATAACACGCTTGGGCATTTCGCGACCGCCCATCTGCTCGTCGAGTTCCTGAAATTTTAACGTCGAGTCCCATGCTCGGCGCTTTGAGCCGTTTTGGTCCTGCATTTGCCGCAGACGCCATGGACGAAGAGCATCATCCACAAGCCCATCATCATAAGCACCGACAATCTCTGCATAAAACATGTTCACACGGAAGGTGTGCTGCTGTGATGACATGAAGAACGGCTCCAAATCCACGCCACGGCGGTACATGTCTTTCATGCGATCAATGCATGCCTTCTGTGCAAGCTGTTTCTCCTTGCCTGGCTGTGGGTCGTCCTGATTGGTAATGTAAAAGATCCGGCGTGAACCGGCTTTGGCGCTGTGTCAGTGATGCCGACATACGCAGAGCTGAGCAGATGAAGTGCATTGGAGAAGACATGCTCGATGGGTATTTGTGTTGACGCCGGAGTAAAGCGTGTTGTAAGCGTGCTGGAGTCCTTTTCCGCGGCTGGGTAAGAATGACACGCACCTGCCACGACCTGTTGCAGTTCGTAGGTGTTGGGAACGTTAACCTGTTGCGCCTTGACGTACTCGACCGTATGCGGCTTAAAGCCTGAGCGGGATTCTGTCACCATGCGCGAATCCATCTAAGATGAGCAGTGCACGTACTGTATTCCACAAGAGCACGCCGACATGATCCTTGGGCGAGCTCACCAGCTTCATCTCCATCAAACGCACGGCCGCACGGAGCGCAACCAGCAAAGGTGCTTCTTTCTCACCCGCCGCATCGTGCATCGTTGTACCACAGTCAATGGCAAATAGAACCACATCACGGTGTGTATAATTCTAGATTAGTTGTTCCACGCACCTCCCAAGGCACGGCAGGCACCTCGTCCCCCGCCCCGGCCTCCATGTCGCGTGGAGGTCCCTGCGGTGGAGGATCGACGCGCCACGCGACAATTCCGGCGCGTCGCACGTCGCGCTCCACCGACCGTTCGTGCACGATGGAATTCCCGCCGCAGCACGAGGCATCTGCTGTGTACGCGCAGCAGGGTGTGTTTGACCATAATGATATGGTAAATGTTTCAGAACCTGCGCAACCTTCTGTTCCGCCCGCTCCCACCGAGGCCAACGCTGGACTGTCCGCAACGCACGAAGCCGATGCCGCGCCTCTGGAACCAGGCGAAGAGGCGGAGCCCGCCAACGAAGAGACGGGGAATGCGCCAGCTTCTAGTGCATCGCAGGCACCAAAGCGTGCGCCACGTCCGAGCTTGCCACCACAAAAAGGAACTACAGTATTCCCTTTGGCACGCATTGCCAAGATTGTCAAAGTAGGTCCATCAGCGCTGACCCCAGGCGGACAGCGCCGTGGATATTTGCAGCAAGGAGGCAACATTCTTGATCAGTGCTGCGACTGTACGTGTCGAGAGTAACACAGGAATTGTTCGTCAAAAAGTTTGTCGAAGAAGGCTGCATTAATGCACGTATGGACAAGCGCAAGATGGTCCGCTATGATGATATGGGTGCGTATTTTCTTTTGCTGACGCAGCCAAAGCCGCACAGCAGAACGAGTACCTTGACTTCCTACGGGACGTCGTGCCGATGCCTGTGCCGCTGTCGACGGCCATGCAGCAGCGCGCACAGATGGCCCAGGCAGGAGAGGAGCAAGAGGCGCCTGACGCGAGTCCTTCCGAGTCTAGCAAGCCTGCCGATGAACACGAGGCGGAGAGCGATGCAGCTATGGATGCCGAAGATGTGCCGTCGCCGTCGCCCCTGCCACCGGCTTCTGCCAAGCCGGAAGGATCGCACGAATGGTCACCGACGCCGTCGGCGGCGGTGGCCTCCAGTACCAACCTTACGCCGTCAGAATCGGGCGGCACACCCGTGTTGCCAACGCCTCAAAAAGAAAATACAACCCCAATGGATTTGTAGCAACCCCATGTAACCCCTTAATCGCTATTCTCCGGTTATTGTACGCCGTTACGGAACCAAAAAAAAATCGACAACTACAGGGTTCGAACCTGTGTGGGCGGAGCCCATGAGATTGCCCTAGAAGGTAGGTTCAAGTCTCACCCATTAACCACTCTGGCAAGTTGCCAATAACTTGATCGTGTCCGCTTAGTTCGTGCTATGAACACAACGAATTTTTTTTAGATCAGGCCGTTGGCCTCGAGCAGGAGCACGATCGAGTGGGTGATCTCAGCAATGCTCTGCTCCGACACATCCACAGTCAGGTCGGCATGGGTGGGATTCTCGTACACATCGTCCACGCCCGTGAAGCCCTTAATCTCACCACGGCGCGCCTTCGCGTAGTTGCCGCGGCGGTCCGTCTTTTCACAGTACTCGAGCGGCGTCGCCACGTGCACCAGGAAGAAGTTGCCAGAGCCACCGTTCTTGACAATCATGTCACGGGCCGCCTCACGCGACTTCTGGTACGGCGCGATCGGCGCAGCAATCACCGCAGCACCTGCGCGCGTCAGTTCCGAGGCGACAAATGCAATGCGCTGGATGTTCTTGTGACGGTCCTCCTGCGTGAAGCCAAGCTCCGACGAGAGCTCGGAGCGGACCGTCTCACCCAGAAGCAGCGACACGCTGCGGCCGCCCTGCTCGTACAGCTTGACCTGCAGCGCGCGCGCGATCTTGTCCTTGCCCGAGTTGTACAGACCCGTGAGGAAGATGGTGAAGCCCTGCTGGGACTTGGGCGGGTAGCTCTCACGGAGCGTGTTGACCACACTCTCGTAGCTGAACCAGTCCGGAATGGGCGCGCCCGTCTTCAGACGCTTGCGCAGCTCCGTGCCGCTGATGTTGGCCGTCTTGGTGCTCGGCGGAACCTCGTCCACGGGCTGGTACTCGTCCGAGTCGGGGAGGTAGGTCATCATCTGGAACGGCACCATCTCGATGCCGAGCTCGTCCGTGTACTTGCGCACGAGATCCTGCGCATCGTACGGGCCGTAGAAGTCCTCACCCTGGCTGTTCTTACCCGGGCCGGCGTGGTCACGACCCACAATGAAGTGCGACACACCAAAGTTCTTGCGGATGATCGCATGCCAGAGCGCCTCGCGCGGGCCAGCCATGCGCATGGCCAGCGGCAAGAGCGCGAGCGTGGCCATACCCTTGGGGTAGCGGGGCATCAGGCTCGAGTACACGCGCACACGGGTGTAGTGGTCAACATCACCCGGCTTGGTCATACCGACGACAGGGTGGATCAGCACGTTGGCCTGCAGCTGGCGCGCGGCACGCACGGTAAGCTCACGGTGCGCACGGTGCATCGGGTTGCGCGTCTGGAACGCAACGACCTTGCGCCAGGACACTTTTTCAAAGTGGTGACGCAGCTCGGCGGGCGTGTAGCGCAGCTCGACGTAGTCGTAGTACTGCGGCTTGGCGACGGCCTGGACGCTACCGCCAACAAAGATGTCCTTGACGTTGTCGTACAGGTACTGCACCGACGGGTGGGCCTTGTCGTTCGCGCCGAACACAAGCTCAGCCTCGCGCACGCGGTCCACCTTGTATAGGTCCGACACAGTGAGGATGGCGATCGTGTTGTCATCACGCGGGTCGCGCAGGGCGACGCGCGCGCCCTCCTTCAGACCGAGCTGCTGGACCTGCTCCTCGGTCACGTCGAGCGTGATGGGGATGGGAAAGAGCGCGCCGTCGGCCAGACGCATGTTGTCCAGCACGCTGTCGTAGTCGGCCTTGCCCATGAAGCCCTCGAGCGGCGAGAAACCGCCGGTGATGATCAGCTCCAAATCACACAGTTGGCGCTACGGTCAGTACGGCATGCGAGGGCCGACGTACCTCGGTGAGGATAATCTCCGGGAGCGATTCCGCCTCCTCGCGGAGTTTGGCGGCAATGGGCGCATCGCGCACAAGCAAATCTTTCAGTTGGCCGCCGTGGGGAGGGTTCACCATGATGGAAGAGGTTGGTTCGACTGCATCGCGCATGCACCGACTTTCTTCCTGCAGCCCACGGACCCCACCTACAGGCCGATTGCGCCATACTGCCATCACGTGGCCGCACGGCGTACCTTGCGACCCAACGGGCGCCGGCGCGGGCACGTGCACGTGGCATCGATACGGCGGACGTGCGCGGCGCGGCATGGCAGATGGCAGGTGGCAGATGCGGCGTAGCGCGGTAGCAACTAGGGAACTACCGACAAATTACTGGGCCTTGGAGATCTCGGTCGAGTTGGTCGCACCGAGCGCCTGCTTGATCTCACCGTAGATCGAGAACTGGAGCGCGGTGAGCGTACCGACCATGATCAGACGAGTCGTAAGACCCGTGAAGAGACCCTTGACACCGAGCTCACGCGAGTACTTGACAAGGCGGCCGACAGTGGTCTCGCCAGGGAGGGCCTTGTTCTTGTTGATCTTCGACAGGAGCGTGTCGGCGGGCTGCGAGATGATCGCGGCAGCGAAACCGGCAGTGAGACCCGAGCCGAGGTTGTACACGACGGCCTCGTTCTGGCTGAGCTCGTGCTTGGTCTTGCCCGAGGCGCGCAGGGCAGCCTCCAGGACGATCTCCATGGTCGAGAACTTGGCCATGTTGTACGGCACCTGCTTGAACAGGATGGGGCCGAAACCGGCGTAGAAGGCGCCGAGGCCCTCCTCGCGGTAGATGCGCGCAAAGCCGCCGATCAGGCCGTTAGCGAAGTCGGGCTGCGACACCAGACGGATACGCGTAGCCTCGAGCGGGCACAGCGCAATGTCCGCGAAGAACTCGGCAAGCGCCGAGGCGGCCAGGTAGACCGACATGCGGTTCTGCTGGGCAGTCTCCATGCCGATGTTGCCGACGATGAGCTTCTTGAACAGCTCGTAACCGCCGAACTTGAAACCACCCTGCAGGAAGTAGCCGGCAAAGGTGGGGCCCGCACCGGTGAGCAGCGCACCAGCACCCTCCTCACCAATGATCTGGCGGAAGCTGCCAATCACACCGCGGGTGTACTTGGTGGGCTCGAGCTGGATACGGGTCTTGACCACATCGATGGGGGTCATGGCACCGTGGGTGATCGAGCTGGTGGCAACGGTGTTAGTAGGCTGCACAAAGAAGAACGAAGAACGTACCAGCAGAGCGCACCAGCGAGGGCGAAGCGCGCGTACAGGTCAACACCCGTCGGGGGCTTCTTCTCGCCGAGCGCCTCAGCGACCGAGTGCACGGGGTAGGCAGAGCCGATAAAGTTCTGGGTGTACGACGACATGCTGATGACGAGTGGTGTAAACGGAGAAAAACTCGGGTTCCGTCTGGTACGTTGATGGGAACCGCAATCACACAGGGCACGTGCCGGCGGTCTTCGGTGCGGCGCCGCGCGTCGTTGGTTGGTCCGCGAGTATGTCCGGTTCCGGCCGAGGCGTGCAAAAAAGAAAAAATGACCGCACCGTGACTAGGCCGACGCGCGGACCGACAGGGTCCATGCGCCGCGCCCGCGTGCGGTCGAGCCACAGGGTGGCGCGCGCCGGCGTGCACCTGGGCACGAGGGGACCATGTGGAGTACGGTGCGGGGCTGCCCTGTTCCCTACGCTACATAGGCCGGAGCCACTGCGCAAGCTCGCCGAGCTCGCTGCGCATCGAGCTATAGACATGCTGGACAGACAGCGCGGTAATTGAGTTGCAGATGCGGGTAACAAGTTGCAGAAACACGTGCATGAGCTCCGCGTCCGTGGTGTCTTCGCGCACCGCAATGATCAGCAGCTCGGGGTTGCGTGCGACAAGCTGCTCGACGATGCGGTTGCGTTCGGGATGCGATGGCACCGAGTGCATCTGCATGAGCGAGTGACCTTCGCTGGGCTCGGGAATGTCGACCGTCGGGAGGCACACGCCCGACGTGAGCGCCTCGAGACGCAGGCACACGAGCCCGAGCTGCTTGACCTGCTCGATGTCGAGCACGTGGTACGTCGGCTCGTACATGAGCAGCGTCGCATCGCTCGCCCGCACGTTGGACATGAATCGGTACCGGCCACTGAGCTGCTTGGGGTATGCGAGCGACAGTCGCTCGGGAATCTCGATGCCCTTCAGTCGGCGTTCCCCGACCGAAATGATGCCGAGGCCAAGCCGGCGCAAAAACACCACGTCGCGCGGCACGGGGTCCGCGGCGGGCGCAGTGGTATCGGTGGGGGACAGCTCCATGCCTTCGTACTTTTTCAAGAGCGACTCGAGCTCGGTAACCACGTCGTGGCTCACGAGAATCTGCCCGCCGTCGGCGGCGTTGCTGATCCGTGCTGCGCGGTTGACCATGGGTCCAAAGTAGTCCATGCGGTTGTTCACCGGGTCCACCTCGCACACCGGGTAGCCCCAGTGGATACCCATGCGCACCGACAGGCCACGGTAGAGGAGCGTGCCGTCCTCGTCGTACACGGGAAAGCCGTCGTCGCTGTCGAGGATTTCCTGGGGCCAGTCGGCGGTAAGCAGGCGCAGCTGCACGGTGAAGCACCAGAGCAGGGCGGAAGTCACGGTCGGGAACGACACCATGAACGCATCGCCTTCCGTCTTGGCCTCGTAGCCCCCGATGCTGCGCAGCTGCCGGCGGAGGAGCAGGTTGTGGAGGCGGATCGCCGCTTGCATCCCTGGGTTCGTCTCCCAGAGCAGCGTGGAGTGCTTGATGTCGGTGAACACGAGCGCCACCTGGCCGATCGGCGGGAGCACTTCGCGTTCGAGGCGCGCGAGTGTGCTGTCGTTGTCCGCGCGGCTGCGGCGTGCCGTCTTCTTCGAGACTTCCTGCATGCGCTGCAGCAGCAGACTTTGCGTGTTGTTGACGTGCGGCTCGTGGAAGAGGGCGCTTACCGCCACGACCATCACGGCAATGTGGCGTGTCGCGCCGTAGCTGATCGCAATGTCACGCAGACGCTCGCTCGCCTGCCGCGGGTTGTCGCGGTCCATGCGCGCAATGTCGACCGCCATCTGGTACGGCAGGTAGCGCCACAGCTCGGCGTTGGCCACAATCACAAGCTCGTCCGCATCGGTCAGCTCGACACACATCACGGACGGGCACGCGCTGACGATCGGCGTGAGCTGGAAGTGCCCGAATGCGCGCGCGACGTGCAGCTTGTCGTTCACGTAGCCGCGCAGCGACACCCACCCCTCGGCGTTGCGGATGCGCTGCGTCT